TTACAATTAATTCGATAATTTTAAGCAAATAAATCCAAAGCCTCTTATTATACATTTCTAATTTTGATAAGTTGTTTTATTAATTGACTTAAAGCTCTATTTAAATAGAAATTCATTAACAAATTACATTGCTACAAATCTTTAAGGAGTAATGACTTATCTTAATATTAAGCTTCTATATATCCTTCTTTTGATATCATTTAAGTTTATAATCGTATTTTCTGAGTTTAATATTATATTTGATTTTATGCTTATTTTTTCTATTAATAATTGAATTTAACAAATCAGTCTTCCAACATCAAAAATTACATTTTAATTTACCATTTTCATCAACAACATAGTAAAATAATAGCTATTTAATCTCAATTATCACTATCTCTTTAATAATATAGATATTGAAATCTTATGAATTTCAATTTTTTAATAACAGACTGCTATGCAATCAATAGGATAAAGTGAATTTGATTCACGAATTCAAGAGGATTTATCAGATTTTAAAAAGCATCTAATGTCTTTGTTTAAACTATTGTTAAGATAAGCGTCTTCATTATTATGAAAGTCTAAAATTTTATCAATTTTAAATAAATAATTTATTGATTACTTAATATTTGCGAATCATTACAATTTTCTGGAATGTGAAGCTTATATGATTTTAAGAAATTTCAACAGAATCAAATCGTCAAATGTAAGAATGGCTAATTATATTTTTTTTAAGGATTTAACAAATTTATATTTAATAAAGTTTCTAATAATTTAAAAATATATAGTTCTTAATAATTTGATGCAAATTGGCCTAGTATAAATTTGAATAATAAAACTGGTTTCATTTTATAATCTATTTTTAAGCAGTATTTTAGATAATTATGAAGATTTATTTTGATTATTTGAATTATTTTGTGAATCAAAATAAAAATTATTATTAGATTAAAGGATAATATTGAGATTATTTGTAAACATATATATATGGATGGAATATAGTATTAAATAGGGAGTGATTATAAATTCTTAAATTGAGAAAAATGTGTTAATATGAAAATTAGACATTGGTTTTTCTAATTTATTATGTAAATCAAAATCATATAGAATGAATTATTGGCTGGACTCTTTTTAAGAATATTTCTATTAGTGACATTTCTTATGAATATTAAATTTATTTAAATCACAAAACTGCTTTCTTTTAAAATATTCTTACTTTCAATTGTTTATTTGGATTTGTTTATAAATATTATTCTTTAAAATTTCTAATGGACAATTATTCTGGAGTTAATGAGTAATAGAAATTATCTCAAAAAATTGTAGAGCTATCTTTAAATAGCTCTACAATTTCAAAGATATTTTAATTAGCTGATGTCGATATATAAAACCGTCATAGAAGAAGTCCATAGAAGGATGAGAGAATAAATGAATTATTAAGGAAAATTCCATCTGAAATTAGATAAATATATGATTGTTTAGGTCCCATTTATGAGATAAATCCCAAATACTAAATCATATACCAAAACGATGGAAGTATATATTTTGGTTAAGGGGTTGAAGGTCGAAAAATTGGAACAGGTATTTAAATCTGGCCAGAATAAGGAAATATATTGGATGGGTAATATAGATGATAATTTATAAAAATAGAAATTGGGAGAATGATGAATTAGAGGGTTAGTGCAGGATGGTATATTCAAATAAAGATATGTATAAAATAATGATAATAGTGTTTAGTTTTGAATGCTTATTCAAATAAGGAAGAGCCAATGGCTTTGGAGTATTTCAATCATAGAAAAAGACAGTGAAAGGTAATGTAGGAATAAGCATATTAGGGATTTGGATAGATAATAATTTATCTGGAGAGGGATAGGAGTTTAGAAAAGATGGTTAACGATATTATGGATAGTTTTAGGATGGACAAAAAAATGGTTAAGGTATTATCTATTTTAAAGATGGATGCAAGTAATGATTGATTTATGTTATAAAATAGATATGAAGGAGAATTAAGGAAAAATAGAGAAGATGGTATGGGAACAATGATTTGGAGTGATTGCAGTTATTATGATGGAGAATTTAGGTTGGGAGTGATAAAAGGAAGAGGAGTATATTCAAGTGGAAATGGATATAGTTTGATGGGATATGTAATTGACAATAGAATATCTGGTTTTAGTTCTAAGAGGAGGTGTAGAAGGATAGAAAGTAGAAGATATAGAGAATTATATATAAACATGAGAACGGATCAAAATTAATAATTGAAAAAATTAGATAACTATGACAATAGAGTTAGAAAATCAAATGATAATAAATATATATATTCTTATTTGCAGTTTTGTAGTATGAATATGATGAACACAAAGAAAATTGAATAATTATGTGAATATATGTTTAATTAATATGAAAAGAAAAATTCGTTTTTGCCTTTTTTTAGCAAAATAATCCTATAGAAGGAATTCATTATTAATTACAATAAATGTTCAAAATTGCCGTGTGTGCATTGTTAGTACTAGCCTCAACAGCCATTAACGTCTAATCCTCAATTTGGACAAGCAAAGACCAAAAGACTTTTGCTCAAATTCACTAATCTGGTTGGGGTAAATTCATCTTGAACTTTGCTGAACTCCATTTAACAACAGGAGGTATTCTTTCTGAGCTCAACTCTGAAATTGAGAAACTTGTACATATAGAGAGTTAATAAATTTATAGATTGGTGAAATGGAAGAGGAATTAGCTGGAGTTCATCATGAATTCAATAGAAGAACAGATGTCCACAACAGAGAAGTATCCAGACTCGAATAAGAAATCTAAGATAAAGAAAGAGGTACTTTATCAGTTTTACTATTTCATTAGAATTGTTCAATGCCCACGATTTCTATGATAACGTCCTCATCCCATAAGGAGAGAGATTTGCTGCCTAACTTGAATAATTATAAGAAAACATTGCTCATAACAGATAAACTCTTGAATAAGCTACAGTCTAAAGAGCCAATGATCATGAAACATTTGAAGCTTAAGTTGTTGAACACAATGATGCTATTGCTGCTATTGATGAATGCTTATAATTATTGAGCACATTAGATACACCATCTCTTGCTTAAGTCAAGAAGGTCTAAAAGAATTTGGCCAAAATCTAAAACTCATTGAAAAAGCACAATTAATTCCAAATCTTTGTTAAAGTTTTATTGGAAATCACAGTTGACTCCAACTTTGCCGATTAAGGCGCTCTTAGAGATGTAATATCTAATATATATTCTATAGATTGTTGTTGCTTTCAATAATTTGAGAGTTGAATTAGTTGATTCACTTAATTAAATCACTGCTGATGAAGCTGACTAAGTTGCTGAATTTAATGCTTAAGTCATTTAATTGAACTAAGAACATGCTGAATTCTAAAGAGCTGTTGTTGTTAAGAATGCTGAAATTGAAGCAAACACAAGTATACATTTTAATATTAACAACAAATAGCCAAATAAGAATAAACTCTTGATTTAATTGATGAACTTGATGCTGATTTGGCCACCCTTAACGGATAATTGTAAGCTGAAAATGATGACTATGCCTTCGCTACTGACGTCTATAATGCAACAGTCGCTGAATACAACAAAGAGATTAATGCTGCCAATTAAGCTTTAGATTTGCTCAATCAACCAAGATTCTAAGACTATGTTAAATCATAACTCAAAGGAGCATGATCTATTAAAAATATATCAAAAGCATATCAATTATTCTTTATTAATAAATTATTTCTCAATAAATAACACAAATACAATTAAATTAAATAAATTTTGAAAAGCCTTCCTATTAATGTGTATCTAATACTAACAATTTTTTAAGACCCAACATACATCCCATCATTTATATTTAGAAAATCTTACTATTTAATTTCTCCGATTATTTTATGATCTGGTTAAAATAATTATTTTTTATAAACAATGCTAATTTAATTAAAAATAATTTTGGATGATTTTAGAGAACAAAGAAAGTATTAAAATATATTCAACTATTTAATTAAATAACTATTCAGAAATCTTTGATTTTAAAAGCTTACTGCCCTTCAAATCGTCATTTAAGTATCAACCAAAGTTATTTAGAAACCAAGATTATCCAATAGTCTAACTGAAAAAAAAACTATTCAAGTAGTGCAGGTTAAAAATTAAGTTAAATAATTAATTTTGAAGATGTTTTTTAATTTTATTCTCAATAAAAAATTCCTAAAATTATTTTATAGTATTTTAGATTTGCAGATAAATTTGAACAATATCATCTAAATTGAATAAAGAAAATTATGTGAAACATTAATTAGAGTAAAAATTACAGAATATATCAACTAGATTGATTTCAGAAAAGAAGAACTTAAGTTATAATATATTTAGAATTAGAAAGAAAAATCCAATTTAATGAGATTGTAAAATTTAAATGTCAATCAAAATTGTCAAAAAATGAAGAGATTTATCCATTTTAGCAATTAAATAAAATAATCTATTAATAGAATTAGCAATAAGGCGTGTAAGGAATAAGATTCAAAGTATCTTCAATTTTATTGTTATTATGAAAATATCGTCTTTTTTGTAGAAAATCAGAGTGAAGAAACTCTTTTCTTTTATAAAATTGCACTTTTTTAATCTATTCATTAATAAAATAGATACTTAAATGAGTTTAAGAGCTTTTCCTTACTTTATAATATCATCATAAATAAATTTAATTTATTAACCATTAAAGAAATATTGATTATTTCCTTTGCAAATTTAAATCAGTTGCTCAGATTTATTTAGATTTATGGTTTATTTCATAAGTTTAAAATTATTAATTTTTAATTTTATTAAGATTCTTAAATTTCAACTTTATAATTCTATTTGTTTTGATAGAATGTAAATAAAGGATAAAATTGATTTAAATATAATGATTTGAATAAATTATAAAACACAAGAAATAAAATTATTAAATTTTGAATTAGATTTATCATCAATTCTATATTCATTAATTAGCAAGAATAAAATAAATAACATAATTATAATAGATGATATTCATCAACAGCAACCAGAATCCTTTTAATTATCTATTTGGACTGCTTCTGTAATTGATTAATTAGTTTTCTTTTGAGTATAGATAGAATTATTTTTATTTTTAGAATGAATTTCTATATTGAGAATGAAATTCTTACCATTAATGAGTTTGTTAAATGCCTCATGAACATTTGCACCATCTTTAGCACTAGTTTCCAGAAAAGCAATTTTATGTTTAGAAGCATAGGCAGATGAAACATCTGAAGAGATTTATCTTAAGTGTCTGAGATCTGATTTGTTCCCAACCAAAATGACTGATATTTCATTTGAAGTACTTTCTTGAACTTCCTACATTTTGATTAAAAGGAAATTACCTTCATCCAGCGATCGACATTATCAAACGTAGATTATTTAGTAATATCAAAGACAATTAATGCTCCTGATGCTCCTTTATAATAGGATGAGATGATGGCTCGATAACGTTCCTGAAGTTAATAGAACTATTTACCTATCCAGCTGTATCCCATAATTATGCTTTTATGATTTTATCATCTATAACAAGTTATTTATTAGCAAATTCCACCTAAGAAATCATGATTTATTACACCAACTGTAGTTTTAGTTTCTTCTGAGAATTCTCCTCTTGTGAATTAAGTCATGATATTGGTTTTACCAACTCCTGAATCCCCTATTATAACTATTTTGTATTGATAATCGTAATCGTCAGAATTTCTCATTATTAAAATAATAATTATTGTAATATTTATATCAATAATTAGTAATATTTATTTTTTAAGAATTTATGCATATTTAAAAAAAGGCTCACTCATCATTAAATCTAGCTAAGAATGATTCCTTTGATACTCCTGAAAAGAAAGTTCATCATATTCATTCTAATAATGAAGAAAAAACATAGTAATAAACTATATAATTGGATGTCACAAATTATAATCATCCTCCTAATTTATCAAAATTGATTCCTGTGTCTTAAATCTATGGTGCTTATAAACGATTGATGAAAGTAGTAACCAGAACACCAACATAAAAATCAATTAAACTCTCTGAATATTTTGGAGCAAATGTTTATATAAAAAGAGTATGAAAATAATTAACTTTAGGAAGATTTATAAATTGTAAGAAGCTATAAATTAAGAGGAGCTTATAATAAGATAATTTCAATTCCTGAAAATGAGAGACATAGAACAGTGTTTTGTGCTAGTGCAGGTAATCATGCACAAGGTGTAGCTTATGTTTGTAATCTAATGAAAATTAATTGCATAATATACATGCCTACTAATACTCCAAGTATTAAGTTTAATGCTGTCAAGTAATTAAAATTTAAAAATTTGAAGATCTTGGGGAAAATAATATGCCCAAATTGAATTAGTGGGGGATACATTTGATGAGAGTTTTCGAGCAAGTAGAGATAAATGCAGTGCTGAAAATGGGATTTATGTTCATGCATTTGATGATGAAAAGATTATAGAAGGATAAGGAACAATAGCAGTTGAGATTTTGGAAGATATTAATGAAGATTAAGTAGATTTTATGTTCTTTCCAGTAGGAGGAGGAGGATGTGGAGCTGGAATATCCTCATATTTTAAATAAGTCAGTCCTTAGACTATTTTGATTGGTGTTGAACCTGAAGGGTATTTATTTAGGTTTATATGCATTTAGATCTCCTTCAATGTATGAAGCTATTAAGTAATAGTAAGTAGTTGAGTTGGAAAGTATAAACACATTTGTTGATGGTGCAGCAATCAAAAAGTCTGGTGCAAAACCATTCGAAATATTGAATTCTGTATTAAAAGAAGTGGTTTTGATACCAGAAGGTCATGTGTGTACTACAATGATGAAGTTGTTTAATGAGGAAGGCATTTTAGTTGAACCAGCAGGTGCCTTAGCAATTAGTGCTCTTGATAAATTCAAAGAATAAATTAAAGGTAAAACAGTAGTTTGCTTGATTTCTGGAAGTAATAACGATTTAGGAAGAATGACAGATATTAGAATGTTGTCAGAGATTCATTAAGGATTGTAATATTATATGTTTGTCAACTTTTTCTAAAAGCCAGGAGCATTAAAATAATTTTTAATTCAGTGTTTGGGTATTATATATAAAATATTATTAAGGTCCTACTGATGAAATCACCAATTTGGAATATACAAGAAAAAACAATAGAGAAAAGGGACCTGCTTTGGTTGGTGTTAAGGTGAGAAAACCTTAAGATTTTGAAGCCATGAAGAATAAGATGGAAGAATTAAAGATTACTCATAGAATATTATAGCCAAATTAAGAGATATTCAAAATGCTATTATGATTTAAAAATTATTAAGGAATATTATATATTTCATCATGCAACTCTTATATATTAATTATTTAATGTAATCAATTCTCATTATAGTATTCAGTCTAATTCAAGTTCTTTGTTAAGATAAATTGCTTATTGTCTAGGCCATTTGGAGACACGGAGCAAGAAATCCTTACTACTGCAATTATGAATGCAATCTAAATGTAGCAAAAGGAGATAGTGCATAATTAACACCAACTGGAATGAGACAATAATATGTATTGGGAAAATGGCTTAGATAAAGATATATCATAGATACTCCTTTTTTAACTCCAACTTTTAATGAAAATTAAATATACATAGAAAGCTCAGATTTTAATAGGTAATTATAGACTCCTTAAATTCTAGGACTCTATAAAGTGCCAATTGTAATTTATAAGGTATGTATCCAGAAGGACCTAATGTAATTCATTTCGTTGATTAAAATCTTTCATTACTTTTACCTCCTAATAAGGGAGCTTTCACTCCTCCAGGAATAGGAGATAATGCCTTGCCCAACAAGATTTAATTAATACCTATACATACAAAACAAAAAGAAATAGACTACGCTCTTGCTATGTCTTGCCCAAACGGTCCTGATATAGTTGCCTAGAACCTATAAACAAACTTATATAAAGAGGTTAATGAAGCTTCTGCAAAATTATACAAAGACTTTAATGAATAGCTAAAATTAACTGGAGATAACTAAGTGAATGATTTCATTAACCTCTCCAATTATAGAGATACCCTTATTTGTAATAGATACAATGGAGATAAAATGCCTGAAGATTTGAAAACTGAAACATTATAATAAATTGATGATATTGCCAATTTAGCATTTAGTCTTGAAAAATTCTAAACACCAGAGTATCTTATTTTCAAAATTTAATAATAGATAAGTTAAACTTTATTCAACTCCTTACTTCAAATAAGTAATTGATCGTTTTGATACTTTTTTGAATGGAACTTCAAATATTAAATATTATGGATCATCCTCTCATGATTCTACTATTTTAGCCACATTATCCGGTCTTAATTTAACCAGTGCCTAATGTTAAGCTGATGTATATCTATAAAAAAATCTTACACAGGAAAATTGTATCACAAAAGTATTATATTTTTTGATTTTTAGTATGTTGAATTTGCATACAATATCATTTTTGAACTCTATAATAATTCAATCACAGGACCGTATGTTAAAGTATTATATAATGGTGAATATATGCCACTTTGTTCAAGCGGAGATTAGACTTGTAAATATTCAACTTTACGGTCCAAATTAATGGCATAATAAGTTGATTATTAAAGAGAATGTGGAATAGTTTAAGATAATGAAATCCTTGTAAAATTATGATTTTATTTCTATTGATCAGGTTTATGAGGAAACTCCTGTTTGGGTTTTAACATTTTTCATCATTTTTTTGCTTTTATTGGTTGCTGGATTAGGAATAATCATAATAATTAAAAAAAAGTTGGCAGAATTAGAATGAAATTATTATTTAATAATATACAAATAACATCAAATTTTTATTTAATCATTAAACTTTTTAAATTTTTGATCATAAAGTAGAGTTTTTTAAGTCATTATAAATAGTATTTGTTATTAAGAATAATTTTTATGATTAAAACATCAAAATATATAATTATTAGACCAACTATTAGTTTGATTTTAACATTAAAATGATATTAATAATTTTTTAATTTATTACATTATTTTATTTCATTAATTATTAATTGAAATGAAAAATAAATAAATTATATTATAAAAAATTCACAAAAATATAAATATATTCTAATTAATTATATAGTCTGTATATCATTTCAAAATATAATATAATAACAATTATCAAGTAATTTTTAACAATAATGTAGTAATTCATGTTCTTTTGTCAGTTAATCCTTCACAATTTAAAGAATATTCAACTACTCTTATTTGTATCTACTTATTCTCTTTATTATTTTTTTATTTCTTAATACAAGATCTTATGACAATTCTTAGAATTTTTATTAATTTTCAAATTTTTCAGATATTCTTGCAATCATCTCTTTTTTGGAATATCTCTATTATTAAATTAAAGGTTATTGTTTTAATGAATCAATATTTTAAATTTTAACAGTAATATTGTCCTTTAAATTTTAATAATGATCTTATAATAATAATGGATGTATTTTTTATGCACAATAATCTTTAACATTATCAAACAATATTGATTAACAAAATTATTCAATAAAGTAAAGAGAATGCAAGAATAATTTAGATTGATATTATTCTGTCTTCAAGAGACTTTACATACACAAACTTGGTAACATTAAAATATAAAAATGATCAGAACGAGTTTCATTTTCATAAGGGTATAAAATGTTTTATTCCTATATTTATTTAATAGCATCATTTGATTTATATAATAACTCATATGTCTAAATTAAAGCAATTTTATTTATTTTCTTAATTTAGAGATCTTTCATAATTTAATAACAATCTATTGTTTTAATTCCAATAAATGATACATTTGATAATTTAATCTAATATATTGCACTAATAGGCAATTTATTCAAATTTACATATTCAACTAATTATTTTTGCATATTTTCAGTAATCAAGATTATCTGATATAATTTTGAAAGAGAAAATAAAGCTTCTTTTAGATTTTTTAAGATATAAATTTATGAATTTTACAATAATTTCTAGAAATAATGCTCTTTTGTATTTTAATACTCAAAATAAAGATCACTTTATACAAAATCAAATTATAAACCATAGTAACTACCTTCTAAAAACCCAAGTAATTCATCAAATTATATTAGTGCTAAATTAGAAATTTATTAATTGATAGTTCTAATAAGTAAAGACTTCAATTAAACTTTGTTAATTAATTCTTTTCTAATAATTTATTCTTGTATAGGATTTGGAGTTTATGGTTTATTATATTAAATTTTAATGGGTTTCTATAATTCAAATACAGGTTTGATTTGATTTATTTAACAGTCTAATGAAGTATTACTAGGAGGAGTAGATTGAATAGTAGGTTTTGGAGTCAATTATTATTTTATATCTAAACGTTCTATTGATAATTCATTATTATATTTTTTATAAACTCGTGTTCCAATATTTTTATTGTACTGAAAACTACCTTTAATAAGTTTACCAGGTAATTTTATATGTTCTTTTTCTTTCCTTTATTATTAATTATTGGCATTTCCTGGTTTTATTTTATATTTTTATAATATAAGATCAGCACAAATATTTTTGTTAAAACTATTAGTAGTCTCAAATGATTCCTTTTCTATTTTAGTGTCACTTACTTAATATGATTTTGTACTAATTTAAGGCAACGTAATTCTTTATTCTTCAGTTGAACAATTAAGTGTCATTAATGTTTAGTAATCCTTCTTCCAATATCCTTAAATTAAAGCTTTTGGTGAATATGATTAATTTGTTCTAAATTCTTTTGCTGATATGGAATGAACATAATGATCATTGACGTAATACTATTAAATTGGATCGATTTTAGATAATGCTTGAATCATTATTATTTATAATATAATACAACAATATACTGAAATACTTTTGGTGTAAGTGTGAATTTACATTTAAAATAAATAAATAACATTTCTTTTTATGATCTTTATACTTAGCTGACATAATAAAATAGTTTTCTCTAAAATTTATCATATATCAGAGTATAATGAAAATATTATCAGTTAGAAATTTCAAATAATATTAAGTAGTATTCAATTTATAAAAAGAGGAATTAACTATATTTGGAGAATAATTTCATATTTAGTTTTATTTTCATTTTTCATTATAATTAACTTGATAGAAAAATTTCTTAATTTATAAATATGATTAAGTCATCAATAAATAATTTAGTTTATTCATTAAATTCTTTACAAGTTATATAATATATATCTATTTCATATTTATGTATCATTCTTCTATCATCATATAAAGATTACCTATTTAATACTTATTACTAATTCATTTTATTTAAAATATCATGAGAGTGATCATTTATTAATTCTATACTAAGAGTGTAATGGTTTATTTTTTAAATTAAAATTATTAAGATTTTAATTGATGAAGAGTGAATAATAATAAAAGGTAGCCACTAAAACAATCAAGAAAATCAAAGTAAATAAAAAGGCACCAGTTAGGTAATTTTATATTATAAAATGAAGATTGTGGGTAAAGGCTGTATTTACAGGTTTCAGAAGGTCCAAAGTTTAATAAAATGAAAATTAAGCTTTATTAAAGATTTAACATGTTGATGATGTTTCATCAAGCAGATTCTATTGGGGCAAAAGAGTTGCCTATATATATAAGGCTCACTCTCTTAAAAACAATACCAAATTTAGAGTAAGGATTATGAGTTAATATTAAGACAATTTGGGGTAGAATCAGCAGATCACATGGATCAAATGGAATTGTCATTGCTAGATTCAATAGAAATCTTCCACCTAGAGCAATAGGATCAACCTTGAGAGTATTCCTCTATCCAAATAGAGCTTGAGTTAAATATAAAAATATATATATGTACATTAATTTCCAGAAATTAAATAAAAGAAATTAATTTTTTTAATATGAGTCAAGCACCATAAGCTGCATAATAATAGGCACAAAAGTCAAATACATACAACAAATCAGAAAAAACAAAGGATATTCGATTGACCAATATCTAAGCAGCAAAAGGTATCGTAAATGAAGAGTAATGATTAGCTGTGGCAGATGCAATTAGAACAAGCTTGGGTCCTAGAGGTATGGATAAGATGATATAAGATGCCAAGGGTTAAGTCTTGATTACAAATGATGGTGCTACAATCTTAAAACAAATGGATTTGGTTCATCCTACAGCTAAGATGGTATAAATTAATTATTAATCATTCAAAGTTAGTAGAGATTTCAAATGCCTAAGATGTTGAAGCAGGGGATGGCACAACTTCTGTTGTTGTTTTTGCAGGTGCTTTATTGAAATCATGTGAGGTGCTATTGGAGAAGGGAATCCATCCAACTACAATTTCGGAGGGATTTTAATTTGCATTGGAATATGCTTTGACAGCATTAGATGAATTGAAAAAACCAGTAGATTTAGCTGACAAATAATAATTAATTGAATGTGTCTAAACTGCACTTTCATCAAAAGTTGTATCATCAAATAGTGCTTAATTGGCTCCATTGGCAGTAGATGCTGTCTTAAGAATTGTTGATCCTGAAAAGCCAAATAATGTTGATTTAAAAGATATCAAGATAGTGAAGAAATTAGGAGGAACCATAGATGACACAGAGTTAGTTGAAGGCATAGTCTTTTCAAATTAAAAGGCTAGTTAAGCAGCTGGAGGCCCATAATAGATTAAAAATGCCAAAGTTGCTCTTTTATAATTCTGTTTATCTGCTCCCAAAACAGATGTGGAAAATTCAATAGCTATAAAGGATTATACAGAGATGGATAAAATTTTAAAGGAAGAAAGAAAATATATTATTGATTTAGTCAAGAAGATTGTTGCTTCAGGTGCTAATGTTTTATTAATCTAAAAAAGCATTTTAAGAGATGCTGTTAATGATTTATCATTGCACTTTTTAGCCAAGAAAGGTATTATGGTTGTTAAAGATATTGAAAGAGAAGATGTTGAATTTATATCAAAAGTATTATATTAAATATATATATTTAGACCTTATGTTTGGTTCCTGTTGCTCATATTGATTAATTGACACCAGAGAAACTAGGTACTGCTGGATTAGTAGAAACAGTTCATTTGAATGATGAAAGCAAAGTATTGAGAATTACTGAAGTCCCAGCTTAATCTAAAGCCTTGACTATTTTGGTTAGAGGATCAAATCAATTAGTCTTAGATGAGGCTGATAGAAGCATTCATGATGCATTATGTGTTGTTAGAAGCTTAGTGAAGAGCAAAGGATTGATTCCAGGAGGAGGAGCTCCAGAAATTCATTTATCATTAAGATTAACATAAATGGCTAACACTTTAACTGGAGCTAAGTCTATGTGTGTTAGAGCATTTGCTGATGCTTTAGAAGTTATCCCTTATACTTTAGCTGAAAATGCAGGTAATTAGATTTAATATAATTATTAGGTTTGAATCCAATCAATGTCGTAACAGAATTAAGAAATAGACATCTTAAATCATAAAAGTTTGCAGGAATTGGAATGAAAAAAGTAAATCTAATTATTATTTTAGAATAATATTGTTGATGATATTACAACTGAATAAGTTGTCCAACCTATTTTAGTCACAAGAAGTGCTTTAAGTTTAGCTACAGAATGCGTTAGAATGATTTTGAAAATAGATGATTTGGTCATCTCAGCACGTTGATCAATAATATATTAAGTATATAATAAATAAATAAATGTTAACTAATTAGAGATCTAAACCTCAGTTCAAACCTGTTTTCAAATTTAAATACTTCTTAAAAACTATAGGTTTGCCTGAAGTTTTAAGAGATTAAAGTTGTAGATTCAAAAATTCTGTTGAAAATAATAAATTCCAATTATATCAACATATCAGTAGTTCTGTTAGAAAGAACAGTACAACTAATTAACAATCACTTTTACCTAGCGTTACAAATAGAAAATCTCTTGTGATTGAACCTATTTCATATTCGATCAATACTCTTGATCATTTATTACCTGATAAAAGCATAAAAAATAAAAAAAAAGAATTACAAAAAAATTACAAGAAATTTAAGAATTTAAGTATTTTTATGAGTTCTAATGAATACATTAATTTAACAAATGATGAAGTATAGGTTGTATAGTCTATCAAAAACAGTCCATAAAAACAATAAAACTTCAATAAATCCTAACATTAAAAAAAAACTAGAAAATAAAAGTTGATTGAATTTTTAAAAGGTTCACATCAAAATATGTAGTTTACAACTATAATATAAAAGAAGTCTTAAAAAGATCAAGCAATGCTTCCTTCTTTCACAATTACTAAATATCAAGAACTTCAATTTTGAATATTTTATAAATGTTTTTTATTTTTTAAAACAAAAGATTGAAATATAATTATAAAAATTAGATTTTATACACACACTAAAATAGATTCTAAAATATAATTGATGTTTACTCTAAAAAGTTATTTATATTATATTTAGCAATTATTATTCAAATTATAAATTTGAATGTTAAAAATTAAGTAAATCTTTATAAAGAATGAGTAAATAAAAAAAATCTTCAATGATAAATATATTAAAATAAAAAAATAAATCAGAATGCAATGATCATTTATGTCTGAGAGTATTTAGAAAATTACCTAAGTTTGCCTTTTTTCCATATAATACATATTCATATTAAATAGATTTTTTCTTTGTAGCTAATTATTAATAACAATTTTTACACTAAAAATTTGCTGGACCATAAGCTTTTTTTAAATCTGCTTATTTTTTTGTTAAAGTTGGCAATTTCACAGAATCTAATAGATGTAAATTCTTATTTTTAAAAGAATTTTATAAAATTTTATTTGTTTAATTGAATAATGTCTTTTTATGTAGTATATGGGAAGTATTTTATTCTTCTTCTGTAAGAGAATCATCACTTATTTAATGTAAATATTCTTACTTTTTTTTTAATAGTTTTATTGATTATAAACTTGTTTCTAATAATTTTTATTATTCTTGATCTCTAAATTCTTTAAAATAAGGATGTCTTAAAGCTTGTTTTGCATTTATACGTTCTTCTGGATCATAAACTAACATTTGTTTAATTAAATCCACTAGATCTTTAGGAGCATGTGGTATCAAATTATCCAAACCAGTGCCAACTTTATAAGGGAAATTGATTTCCATATGAGTTGCATGCTTTCTAAACCTATCAAGAACTTTAGGATTGGGTGTTCCCAATATATTGTGTATTCGATGTACTTGGTCCAATTCATTACTTCCTGGAAACAATGGAAATAATGCTGTAATCTCAAATAAGACACAACCAGCACCCCAAATATCCATTTTACTATCATAATAACCATCAGTCATTAAGCATTCTGGTGATCTATACCATCTTGTTGAAATATATTCTGTATATGGATGTTTTGAGTAAATTCCTTTACACGAACCTAAATCAGCCAATTTAAGATGATCTCCTAGCAACAAGATATTTTCACTAAAACCAATCAATTCAAATCTTACGGTTTAATATCTCTATGAAAAATATTATTCGAGTGCATAAAATCAATAGCTTTGAGCAATTGATATGTATAACTCCTAATCTTCTCTTATTTTAATGGTATTTTTCTACCTAAATATATGTATTGTAATCTCTTACCTTTAATATGTTCATACAGATTTTGTTCCATCAATTCGAAAACCAATGCCAATCTTCCAGTAGGTTCATCACTAATTATTATGAAATGATATTTTACTATAATACTTCAATTAATTTAATAATGTGTTCATGATTTTATAACTTTCTTAATGCTTGAATTTCTTTGAGTTTGTTAACCAATATTAGAATTAAAATATAATACTTAGTCAATTGTTTGAAAAACTTGCTTCATGCATTTTATTGCAACCAATTAATTAGTTTTTATTGATTAAGCTTTAATAACCTCTGAAAAAGTGCCTTCTCCCTTCTTTGTTATCAATCTGTAATCTAACACTTTAAAATAATAAATTTACTTTACATCTGATTCACACTTATATAATAATATAAATTATGTTTTTATTATCTTTAAAATTGGAATAAAAATAAATTCATCAATTAAATATATTCACTATCTTTAAATTCTAAATTCCCTCTTTTATATTATAATGTAATCTTAATACAATATTATTTAAATCTTAATTATAGTATAAAAATATATTCTTTAATAAATTAATCATAGAAAAATCTATAGAAAATTAGTTTGTAAAACACAAAATATTGTATTTTAGTTTATCTAAATAAAACACATATTATTCAATTAATTGAATCTTTTTTAATATATTGAATTAATATTATATGAATTATATAGATAATAAAATAATTATAAATATATGAATATACCCTTTATATTGATATTTAATTCAAATTAGATAGTTAGACTTATTATTAATTATATTAATAATGATTTATTTAGATAATTTGCTTATATAATATTACTTAATAATTGTAGAATTCTATTTGAGTATGACATTCAATTAAATTTACTCTAACTGATGGTTTATAATAGCAATTGAATTTTAAATATTATTTTAAATTGCTAGATATTAAACATAAATGGTTGAAAGATTAAATGATATAAAACATTTTTATTTTTTTTAAATTATATTAATTAAATAAAGTATGTAAAAGAGACCTGAGGATGCAAAGAAAGAGGAGTAGTTATTCATATACTTACAAAAATCATATGCAGATGCATAAAAAGTATTGTTTCTTATATATTTTAATAGGGAATAACAAATTCAATGAATAAAATCATTGAAGAAGTTTGCCGAAAGAATAAAGACATACCATAAATCTGTTTGTGGGTTGAATTATTTAATCGGCTGTTGCTATAATTGCAACGCAATGGCAATGATGCC